GCCGGTCTACGGTCTCCGCCAGGCGCCACGTGAGTGGCACGACACACTGAGGACGACACTTGCGGCTCTTGGGTTCGCTCCCTCTACTGCTGACCCGTCGCTGTTTCTACGCACCGACACCTCGCTGCCGCCGTTCTACATCCTCGTGTACGTCGACGACTTGGTCTTTGCCACTGCTGACACCGCGGCACTCGCTCACGTGAAGTCGGAGCTGCAGAGGAGACACACGTGCACAGACCTGGGTGAGCTGACGAGCTATCTTGGCTTGCGGATCACCCGGGACAGAGCACGGCGCACCATCACCCTGACTCAGTCACACATGGTGCAGCAGGTTCTCCAGCGCTTCCGCTTCACGTACTCCTCGCCTCAGTCCACTCCTCTGCCTACCGGTCACTCGCTCTCAGCTCTGCCTTCGGATGAGTCCGTAGAGCCGAGTGGCCCGTATCCAGAGCTTGTGGGCTGCCTCATGTACCTGATGACCTGCACTCGACCTGACCTTGCATACCCTCTTAGCATCCTAGCACGCTATGTCGCTCCTGGCCGTCACCGGAAGGAGCACATGGATGCTGCTAAGAGGGTGTTGCGCTACTTGTGCAGTACGTCGGGCATGGGGCTTGTGCTTGGAGGGCGAGACCGGGTTGTTCTCACAGGGCACTCAGACGCTTCTTGGGCAGACGACCAGGCTACTCAGCGGTCGTCCCAGGGTTACACCTTCAGCCTTGGCTCTGGCACAGTTTCTTGGCGTTCTACTCGCTCTTCTTCTGTTCTCAGCTCCAGTTGTGAGGCTGAGATCTACGCCACAGCCATGGCCGCTCAGGAGCTACGCTGGCTGACCTACCTGCTGACCGACCTCGGAGAGCGGCCTCGTTCTCCTCCAGTGCTGTACGTCGACAACAAGGCTGCCATTGCCTTGTGTGAGGAGCACAGACTGGAGCACAGAACGAAGCACATCGCTCTGCGGTACTTCCTGGCTCGAGAGCTGCAGCAGCGTGGTCAGCTTTGTCTGCGTTACGTGGCCACGGAGGCCAACACTGCTGATGTGTTCACCAAGGCGCTTCAGCCTTGTGACCATCAGCGCTTTTGCACTCTGCTAGGCCTTGTACCTACTGGGCCTCACTTACTTACCTCTTGACCTTGCTTGTACTGTGATCACTATATATATATGCCTACTTGTTTACGTTTGCTAGGTTGTGATCACTGTATCCCTTGTTTTGTTATAAACCTGCATGTGAACTGGTCTTGTGACCGCTTGCTTGTGCTCGGAATTTGTGTGGAATCCTTGAGATCCACCCTGAGCTTGTTTTGCTTTGCTTTGACTGGTCTTGTGACCCTGTGGCTGTCTCCCACTGCGCCTATGGGGGTGTGTCAAACATTGCATGTTTATATTGTCTAGGCTGTAGTGGGTTACACCTTAGGGGGTACACAAAGTTAGGGTTTCCTACTTGTACCAAACTCTGTTCTAGTTCATTCATTCCTGCTCAGTTATTTCTGACAGCGTCTGCATGGTATCTTCTACTCCTACTGCGACACCTTGATCGGTCATGGCAATTGAGACGGCTGCCTGCCTGATACGACTTAGCTAACGAACAACAGTTTGTCTAACGTTCCACACTCACCGAACAACATGCACACAATGGCAAGGAAGTCGATATAGCAGGAATGCACTGCAACATACCTAGCAAGGCGACTTTCTAACACAACACAAAGGGAGCTTGCCAACGTAGCAGGACGGCAGCGTGCCAACGATGCAGCACGGTCGACTTTCCATCAAGGCGGTCTGCTAGCAATGTAGTCGAAGATAATCATGTGCACAAATGTGCGGCACCTACCAAATAGGTGCAGTCTTCATAATAGACGGTTGCGTGCACGTCGTGCACGTGATGCACAATGCACAGGTGTCAGGTTTTTCAGCATGCCATGCTGATTTCCCAGGGCAGCTTTCGCCAAAACCACCTGGTGCGAGATTCGCGCACATGAGGAGTTTTACCAAAAACTTATTTTGGTCGACCAGAAACAAGCAGCTTCACCTGAGCTACCGAGAATCAAGATCTTCGACCTCCAAAGCTCGGCGTTGCTCGCTGACTTAATTTCGTCGACCAGTGCGTTGTCGACTTTCGTCGTGACTGTCTAGAAAAGTCCACCGTCACTGATCGATTAAATTTGTCGACATGTAACTCGTTGCACAGATTTTGTGCACAACAAATATGTTCTTGTGACGTCGGTTCCCCAAACAAAAATCGAGTAGTTGGTTTGTTATTAAACAATTACATGGACAATCACGTCCGATGAACCTAGAAGCACGACCTTGGATTTGGCCCAACCCACCGTGTCAAGCCACATCGGCACGTCAATCCATGCACGCTTCAAGGAACGAGCGCACGGTACTGCGGGGAGCAATTTCTACAGTGTTGCAGGGTAGGGGGAGTACAACACGTTCGAGCGGTTTCATCAACAATGACAGCACAATTTAAAGCCATGAGTACAAGAGATTTTTGAGTGAAGCGAAGTGATGTCTGTTGAAAAGAGAAACTAGGATGAGTTCAGTAAGGCAATGGTAAGTACAAGTAGAAGCCTTGAAGAGGTCTATTCTCTAGTGAGTACCCCAATGTAGCCTACAGATATACATAATGTTTGACACATCCCATATGCTAAGTGAGGGACAGCACGAACAACAAGCAATCACAAGACCAGTCAAGAGAAGCAACATGCAAAGCTTAGGGTGGATCATAAAGTCACCACACAATCTGAGCACAAGCAAATGCCCACAAGGCCAGTTCACATGCAGTATAGTGACTACAGGCTAACAAAGATCACAGCAAAGCATACAAGCAAATATATAGATCACAACACACTGCGAAGTCAAGAGGTAAGCAAGTGAGGCAGAGTAGGTATAAGGCCCAGAACAGTGAAAAAATGCTTATTGGTGAAGTTATTAGCTGTGTTGGCCTGTGAGGCAAAACCAACCACGCTACTGCAGCTCTCGAGCAAGGAAGTAACGCAGAGCGATGTGCTTCGTTCTGTGCTCCAGTCTTTGCTCCCGACGCAAGGCAATAATGGCCTTATTGTCGACGTACAGGACCGGAGAAGAACGAGGCCATGACCCCCACGTAGATCTCAGCCTCACAACTGGAGCTGAGAACAGAAGACGAGCAGGTGGTCCTCCTGGACACAGAACAAGAGCTGAGACAGAAAGTGTAACCCTGTGATAACCGCTAAGTCTCCTGGACGTCTGCCCACAAAGCGTCTGAGTGCTTAGTGAGCACAACTCCGTCCTCCAAGTATAAGCCCCATGCTTGATGTACTACATAAGTAACGTAGTACCCTTTGCGCAGCAATCCAGTGCTCCTTCCGGTGTCTACTGGGAGTGTGAGGATCTAGGATCGAGCTCAGAAAAGAGAGTTTGAATTGAATGATCACCTGGGTACAACACGAGGCTATATATAGGCTCGACACAAGGCAGGTAACCCAGGTGTTACGCGAATGTTCCGAGGGTCGCGAAGCGTCCCGAACAAAACCTTCCTAAACTCGGTAGAAAGCAATTCGGTGGCAACCGAATAGCTTGAGTTCGGTACACGTAACCTGGCTCAGTGCCTATAACTATAATAACTATAGTAAAGCAACGAACCTAAGGAATCAAGCAATTCATGCATGCATAAAATAAACCTAAGCTAGGAATAGCGTAAGGGAATAAAAGCAAGCATGCATGGCTGGCATAAGCCGACGTACTCTCACACGTCCACCCCTCTGAGCTGGGTGGCGTAAGATACACCCTGCTTGACAAGATAGTCCTTGAGAGCATGGCGTGCGTTGCCCATATCAGCTTCTGCAACCCAACTGTCCTCAGTGGGGTCATATCCCTTCCAGCGTATCAGGAACTCGAGGGTCTTGCCGCCACGGCGCCGATGAGTGAGAACACGCTCGATCTCGTATTCGGGTTCATCTTGCACAAGGACGGGTGGTGGTGGCGGTAGTTGCCGTCCCTGGAACTGTTGGTTGGGGTCCTTGTAGGGCTTCAGTAGCTGAACATGGAAAGCGTTGTGAAGCTTCCGCATATCTGGTAAGCGCAAGCGGAATGTAACTGGTGTCACCTGTGCCTCCACGAGAAAAGGACCACAGAAGCGAGGCCAGAGTTTGGATGGTAGGTGAGACAGGTTCAAGTTGCGTGTGTCAAGAAACACTTGATCTCTGACTGCTACTGAGTGATCTCGTCGCTGACGATCGGCATACTGCTTCTGGGAGTTCTGCATCGTGGTGAGACGCCGCTGAGTCTTCTCCCATAGCTGCTGCATGGTGGTGACGAAGTCATGTGCGGCTTGGACGTGTGCCGGTGTGGTTGGCTGCTATGGTGTGAGTGGTTCCCGTCCGTAACACAGGAAGAAAGGAGTTTTTCCTGTGGCCGCATGCGAGGCGTTGTTGTAAGCGAACTCTAAGGTTGGTAACTGTGTGTCCCAGTGGCTGATGTCGTCTTTGCAAGCTGTGCGCAGTAACTGTTCAACCACCTGATTGAGTCGCTCTGTCTGTCCGTCAGTCTGGGGATGGTATGCTGAAGACATCGCAAGCTTAGTCCCCAACAGTCCCATAAGCTCCTTCCAGAACTTACTCGTGAATTTTGGGTCTCTGTCTGAGATGAGTGTAGCGGGGATGCCGTGGATGGTGATGATGCGGTCGAAGAAGAGTCGAGCAGTTGCTTCAGCTGTAGCTGTGGCGTTGGTCATGATCAAGTGACCCAATTTGGACAACTTATCGATGACTATGAGGATGGAATCGTGTCCCCGTGAGGTCGAAGGAAGTCCTGTGATGAAGTCGAGACTAACGACCTGCCATGGCTGCTCCGGTACGGGTAGAGGCTGAAGTAACCCTGCTTTCTTCTGCTTGCTACTCTTCATCCGCTGGCACGTGTCGCAGGAGGTGACGAACTGCTGTACGTCTGCTGCCATCCGAGGCCAGTAGTAATACTTTGCTATTCCCGCTAACGTTTTGTTGCTCCCGAAATGTCTCGCTTATGGTACGTCATGGAACTCCTCCAATAGGATCTGCCGTAGCGGGGCGTAGTTCGGTACCCAAATCTTTCCTGAACCCTTCCTTACCGCTAAGTCTTTCTCCCACTGTAACAGCTTCTGTTTCTCTGCCGTTGCTATCTCGCCGTCCACGGAGTACCCATGTTGGAATAGACCCTTGAGGAGAGGGTTCATCCCGTCGAGTTGGATGCCTGCTACATGTCCAGGGCGGCTCAACACGTCAGCTTTGTTGTGGAGCCCGAGTTTGTAGACGATGTCGTAGTGGAAGTGAGTTTCCAAGAAATCCACCCACCGCACATGTCGTCGTGAGAGCGTCGGCTGCGACTTCAGGTATTTGAGACTGCAGTGGTCTGTATAGACTGTGGTCTTGGCTCCCTCAAGGTAACACCTCCACGCCTTGAAGGCTACGACTATGGCTAAGGCTTCCTTGTCGTGGATGGGGTAGTTCAGTTCTGCTCCGTGTAACTTCTTACTGAGGTAGGCGATAGGCTGTAAACCGTTCCCGTGATCCTGCATCAGTACTGCTCCGACTGCCTGGTCACTAGCGTCTGCTTCAACTACGTAGTCCTTCTCGGGGTCTGGTAGGATGAGTACTGGCGCTGTGGTCAGTACTTTCTGTAGCTGTTCCATGGCTTGCTGATGAGGAGTACCCCATTTGAAGGGCGTGTCCTTTTTCAGTAGGTCGGTCAGTGGCGCTGCTATCTTAGCATACTGCGGCACGAACCTGTTGTAGTAGTTGGCGAAGCCAAGGAACTGCTGCAACTCCTTCACGTTCTCCGGAACCTTCCACTTTTTAACGGCTTCGATTTTCCGCGGGTCCACGTGTACGCCCTTGGCACTCACCATGTGCCCGAGAAACTGCACCTTCTTCAGTGCGAAGTCGCTCTTTGACAGCTTCACGTAGAACTTATTTTTCCGCAGGATCTCGAACACCTTCCGCAGATGCTCCACGTGCTCCTTCATGTTTTTGGAGTAGATGAGGATATCGTCCAGGTACACTACTACGCACTCGTCCAGCAGGGGCCGTAGGATGTGGTTCATCTCCGCCTGGAACGTCGCTGGTGCATTGCAGAGTCCGAACGGCATCACCAAGTATTCGTAGGAGCCGTATCTCGTACGGAACGCCGTCTTGTGGATCGAGTTGTCCGCCATCTTGATCTGCCAGTAACCCAACCGTAAATCCAGCTTCGAGAATACTGTTGCACCACGCAGTTGGTCCAGTAAGTCGTCGATGCGCGGTATGGGGTATTTGTTTTTGACTGTCTGTTTGTTCAGTGCGCGGTAGTCGATGCACATCCATAAACTGCCGTCTGGTTTTGGTGTGAAGAGAACTGGTGCGCCGTAGGGAGAGGTGGATGGTCGGATCAGTTGTCTGTCCAGTAAATACTCGATCTGTTTTTTCATGTCTGTCAGTTCGGTCGGACTCAGTCTGTAAGGTGCACGTGAGACGGGTTTCGCACCTGGTTCCTTCACGATATCGTGTTCGTGGGTGCGTGCAGGAGGTACGCCTGCAGGTAGGTCGTCGGGCATTATATCTTTGTACTGCTCCAAGACCTCTTTTACTGCTGCGGGTAGCTCGGAACCCGATTTCGCTCTTCTGTTGCTGCCATGACCAGGGCTAGGTAACCCGTGTTGCTCTCGTTCACCGTCTGTTCGAACCGTGCCAGTGTCGTTTCAGGAATGTCCCCTGTATCCGTCCAGCTTCGTAGTGCTATCCGCTTCCTGTTATTGTAGATGCACACTTTGCTGTTGACCCAATCGATCTCGGGGTTGAACCGCTTCAGGAAATCTCGCCCCAAGATAAAATCTAACCCTTTGATGTTGGTGACTGGTAGCTTCGGCTTCCACCTCAACGCACCTATATGCAGCTGCAGTGATGCTTCGCCGTGGATGGGAAGCTTCGTACCGTCCACCATGGTTGCTGAAAACTGGGTCTCCTCCGCCTTCTCTCCAATTTTCTCCAATGTTTCGCGGTCGCACACCGAGTGAGATGCACCGCTGTCCACCAGTGCCTGGAGGCGTCGCCCATTGCACCACACCTCGAGGAGTAGTGGTTTCTGATACGCTGAGTAGCCAAAGAGGGTCTCATTAATAGGATCATAGGGTACATCAAAATGAATATCTTACCTACTTCCTAAACCCGACTCAGCACTTTCCAACTTCACCTGGGGGGTAGGAGGATTTTTCCGAGGCTTGTATAATTTTTCCTTAGCCTGGATGTCTCCTCTAAGCCTTTGCAGCTGTGTAGGCTTCACCTGTGGGCAACGGGGAGCCTTAACACTATGCTGCGGGGAGAGAATATTAACTCCACGGAACGCACGACCCTTTTCTACGCTCCGTAATACTTTGCCCAACTTCTCAGGTACCTGAATGATTTTTAAAGGCTTTTTCTTGGCCTCTAATTCTCCCCTGAATTTTTCAAAGGCTTGAAAACCACGAGAAGCAATATTTTTCGTTAGAGTATCTTTGTGGGATACTTTTAACGAATTCTTACTTTCGTGGGTGTTCGGCTGGAGTTTCCCGGTCGGTGCAGAGTCTTTTTTCGCGGAGCGATTATTCGCCTCGGCGATTTCCCCTGATGCCGGCCGGTCGTGACGTTTTATATTCGCGCCATCATTTTCTCCTTTTTTCACCCGCTCCGAATGTTAAGATAATAGGCATAACCTAGGACTAGGAGCCTAGGGTTTAGGGTACACGAAAGAGAAATAGGAGAGAAGGGCTTTTCACTAGCAGCAATGAGGATACATATAGCAAACCCTAGATGGGTTGTACTCGCTACAGAGCACCCCACTACAGGCTAGAGAATAACATTCTGACACACCCCCATAGCCAAGGTGGGGTGTAATCAGCAGAACAAGCAAGCAGTAGTTCACAATTTATGAGCAAAGCTAGAGACAGTCACAGAGGGCAAGTGAGGAGGAGGAGGCGAGACTGTAAGAGGAGAGGAGATAAGAGGCGACGGCTGAAGCTGCAGACACACGGGCGACAGGAGTCACACTGGCACAGCGGCTACCGGAACATCGGCACGGACTTCTGGAGTAACTGGCTCCGCGGCTAAGACGAGCGGCAGGAGCAACGGACCCTCCGGCGACTAGCACAGTTGGCTACGACTGAGCTACCAGGACAGCGCCCCGGACTACAGGTGCTGCGGACGACAAGACGGCAGCCTCCGCTCAACCTCCCCCAATAGTCCCACCCCCTCTCACACACACCCCCTGCTGAACCCCTAACTCCACTCCCACGTCACCCCCCTAGCACCACTCCTTCGGCTCCCACACACCCACCCCCCTCAGCGGTAGCTGCAGCAGTGGGAGACGGAGGAGGAGGAGGAGCAGGGGACGGCTCACACACACGGCACCCCCATACCCTCCACCCCCAAACCCTAACACAGGAACGCGGGCAGTAGCGGGGGTGGGGGGCCATCAGAAGCTCGGGGGACGGACGAGGCGCGCGCACGGGCCTGCAGCAGGACAGACGAGGCGCGCGTGGGCTGCCCGGGCCGTGCGCAAGCCTGGCGCAGCCCGTACGGGTCGCGCGCGGGCCTGGCGCAGCCCGTACGGGCCGCGCGCGGGCCTGGCGCAGCCCGTACGGGCCGCGCGCGGGCCTGGCGCAGGTCGCGCGGGCCGCGTCGGGCGACGGGGGGCGACGCGCGGGTCCCCGGAGGCTCCGCGACGGGCGACGGGGGGCGACACGCGGTTCGACGGGGCAGAAAACCGCCGCGCGCCCCGAGCGCGCGACGGTAAGAAAAAATCGCCGCGCGCCCGGAGCGCGCGGCAGGCAGGAAACAGCAGCGGAAGCATCGTGGGGCCCACAGGCCAAGAGCGTAACAGCTCTAAAACCATGTTAAGATAATAGGCATAACCTAGGACTAGGAGCCTAGGGTTTAGGGTACACGAAAGAGAAATAGGAGAGAAGGGCTTTTCACTAGCAGCAATGAGGATACATATAGCAAACCCTAGATGGGTTGTACTCGCTACAGAGCACCCCACTACAGGCTAGAGAATAACATTCTGACACCGAAGTCGCAACGTCGTCGCCTTTTCCCCCTTTTCGGATCTTTACGCGATCGCCAGGTCGATCCGCGGCTACTGGCGACTGCCGTTTTTTTACTTGTGCCCCACTGTTACCGTCCCGGAGTGCCGCACGTGCTTTCTTCATTTTGTAGCACGACAAAATTTGATGCCCTGCTGCGCCGCAAAATTCGCATTTCGCCGACTGCTGCTTCGCGTCAAATTTGTCGATATCCATCGGTTCGGCGAACGTGGGGGGTGCCGATCGCTCCGTGCCGAATGTACGGTTCGGCGCGAAACGTCGTGTTTCGGGTTGACCTCGAGTCAGCGCGTCGTATCGTTCGGCTGCACGCACGATGTCCCTGTAGCTGTTGTAATTCGCCGCGATCACCTGCCGCCGAATCTCCAATTTTAACCCTTCTGTGTACGCCTGGATTTTTTCGCCTTCGGTCAGGTCGGGGATGCGGTTGAACAGTAGCTCCATCTGATGCGCTACGCTACTGAATTGCTTGTGACGATGAATTTGTTGCCGCGCCATGTAGGTCGTATTAATCGGTTTGAAACGTTCGATTAGGTCTGCCCGAAACTGCTCCCACGATTTCTCCCCGTGGGCCACGTCAGTGTTGTATATCCACTCGAGTGCCGGTCCACGTAACAGTGTCGCTGCGAGCCGAATTCTTGCTGCGTCATATGTCGGGGTCGAACAGCCAATGGCCTCGAAGTAAATTTCGAGGGTGGCCACGAATCGCCGGACGTCGGATCCCTTCGCGCTTGGATCGAACGCTTCCGGGAGCCTCGGTCGTGCTGCTTCGAGATTCGACGACAGTGGTGCCATCGGTCCGTGAAATGTCGGTGTCGCCACTGCTGCTGGTGTTGTCGCTGCTGCATTCGCTGCTGCTACGGTGGCGAAGCCTGGTTGGTTTGTCAGAAGGGCTTCGAGTCGACGAAGCGTCGCCTGCTCCGCTCCATGTCGGTGCGGAGGCTCGCGATGTCGCTCGTGGTCGCGTAGTTGTCGCCTTGGCCCTCCATGCCTGACATCAACGCGTCCGAAAAACCGAAACGAGGGGGAGCGAAAAACACGGAACCGGTTTTACGTACCCGAAATCGATGTTTAACTGTGTCGCCCCCGCGGTTTTTTTAAGACTGGTTTTTAGCGGTCGAAAAAACTTCGCGTGTAAACGGGCTCTGATTACCAAGTGTGAGGATCTAGGATCGAGCTCAGAAAAGAGAGTTTGAATTGAATGATCACCTGGGTACAACACGAGGCTATATATAGGCTCGACACAAGGCAGGTAACCCAGGTGTTACGTGAATGTTCTGAGGGTCGCGAAGCGTCCCGAACAAAACCTTCCCGAACTCGGTAGAAAGCAATTTGGTGGCACCGAACAGCTTGAGTTCGGTATACGTAACCTGGTTCGGTGCCTATAACTATAATAACTATAGTAAAGCAACGAACCTAGGAAATCAAGCAATTCATGCATGCAAAAAATAAACCTAAGCTAGGAATAGCGTAAGGGAATAAAAGCAAGCATGCATGGCTGGCATAAGCCGACGTACTCTCACAGGGAGCAACAAGATGGGCCCGGATGCTAAGATGGTACGTGAGGTCAGGCCGAGTACAAGTCATCAAGTACATGAGGCAACCCACAAGCTCTGGATACTGACCACTCGGCTCTACGGACTCGTCCGAAGGTGGAGTTGAGAGCAAGTGGGTCATAGGCAGAGGAGTGGGCTACGGCGAGGAGAACTGAAAGCCAAAGCACTGAAGGACCTGCTGCACCATGTGTGACAGATTTAGAGTGATGGTGCGCCTTGCTCTGTCCCGGGTGCAAGCCAGGATTGTTGCGCAGCCACCCAAGTTAGTGCAAGTGTGCCTCTTCTGCAGCTTTGCCTTCACAAGGGTCAGTACATTAGTATCAGCAGTAGCAAAAACCAAGTCGTCAATGTATACGAGGATGTAGAACTGCAGCAGAGAAGGGTCGGTGCGAAGAAATAGCGACGGGTTAGCAGTCAAGCAGCAAACCCAAGACTGCTCCTTGTCAGAATGTAGTTTGTCTAGCCTGCAGTGGGGTACTCTGTAGTGAGTACAACCCCTTAGGGTTTCCTATATGTATCCTCCTGAACATCCTCCTTTGCTCATTTCTCTCTTGCCTAGCTAGGTAAACCCTAGCTATGGCTCCTCGTTCTGCCTATTATTTCGAAATGGAATCAGAGCTGTTACGCTCTTGGCCTGTGGGCCCCACGTGCTTCCGCTGCTTTCCTGTCTGTCGCGCGCCCCGTGGCGCGCGACCTTCTTTTTTCTTCCCGCCACGCGCTCGGGGCGCATGGCGGTTTTCTGCCCGCCGTGCGCCCCGAGGCGCGTGGCAGCTTCATTCTTCGCGCGTCACCCCGGGG